AAAGGTACTAATATACTCACTCCCAATGTCATGCAATGTAGAACAGGTACTAATATACTCATTCCCAATGCCATACAAGGTAGGACAGGTACTCATATACTCACTCCCGATGTCATATAATGCAGGAAAGGTACTTATATACTCAGTCATACAATATAGGACAGTTACTAATATACTCACTCCCGCACTCCAAATGTCATACAATGTAGGACAGTTACTAAAATACTCACTCCCAATGTCATACAAAGCAGGACAGTCACTAATATTCTCATTCCCAATGTCATACAGTGTAGAACAGGTACTAATACACTCACTCCCAATGGCATACAATGTAGGACAGGTACTAATATACTCACTCCCAATGTCATACAATACAGGACAGGTACTAATATACTCACTCCCAACGTCGTACAATGCAGGACAGGTACTAATATACTCATTCCCAATGTCAATCAGAGTAGGACAGGTACTAATATACTCATTCCCAATTTCATACAATGAAGGACAGGTACTAATATACTCACTCCCAATGTCATTCAATGTAGGACGGGTACTAATATACTCACTCCCAATGTCATACAATGTAGGACAGGTACTAATATACTCACTCCCAATGTCATATAATGTAGAACAGGTACTAATATACTCACTCCCAATGTCATATAATGTAGGACAGGTACTAATATACTCATTCATAATGTCATACAATGTAGGACAGGTACTAATATACTCCCTCCCAATGTCATACAATGTAGGACAGGTATTAATATACTCACTCCCAATGTCATATAATGTAGAACAGGTACAAATATACTCACTCCCAATGTCATATAATGTAGAACAGGTAATAATATACTCACTCCCAATGTCATTCAATGTAGGACAGGTCCTAATATACTCACTCCCAATGTCATACAATGGAGGACAGGTACTAATATACTCATTCATAATGTCATACAATGTAGGACAGTTACTAAAATACTCACTCCCAATGTCATACAATGTAGAACTGGTAATATACTCATTCCCAATGTCATACAATGTAGGATTCAATGTAGGACGGGTACTAATATACTCACTCCCAATGTCATTCAATGTAGGACGGGTACTAATATACTCACTCCCAATGTCATTCAATGTAGGACAGGTACTAATATACTCACGCCCAATGTCATACTATGTAGGACAGGTACTAATATCCTCACTCCCAATGTAAGACAATGTAGGACAGGTACTAATATACTCAATCCCAATGTCATACTATGTAGGACAGGTACTAATATACTCACTCCCAATGTAAGACAATGTAGGACAGGTACTAATATACTCACTCCCAATGTCATATAATGTAGGACAGGTACTAATATACTCACTCCCAATGTCATACAATGTAGGACAGGTACTAATATACTCATTCATAATGTCATACAATGTAGGACAGTTACTAAAATACTCACTCCCAATGTCATACAATGCAGGACATGTACTAATATACTCCCAATGTCATACAATGTAGGACAGGTACTAATATACTCATTCCCAATGTCATACAATGTAGGACAGGTACTAATATACTCACTCCCAATGACATACAATGTAGGACTATACTCACTCCCAATGTCATACAATGCAGGACAGGTACTAATATTCTCATTCCCAATGTCATACAGTGTAGGACAGTTACTAATATACTCACTCCCAATGACATACAATGTAGGACAGTTATAATATACACATTCCCAATGTCATACAGTGTAGGACAGTTACTAATATACTCACTCCAAATGTCATACAATGTAGGACAGGTACTAATATACTCATTCCCAATGTCATACAATGTAGGACAGGTACTTTTATACTCACTCTCAATGGCATACAATGTAGGACAGGTACTAATATACTCATTCCTAATGTCATACAATGTAGGGCAGTTACTAAAATACTCACTCCCAATGTTATACAATGCAGGACAGTTACTAACATACTCACTCCCAATGTCCTACAATGTAGGACAGGTACTAATAACCTCACTCCCAATGCCATACAAGGTAGGACAGGTACTAATATACTCACTCCCAATGACATACAATGCAGGACAGGTACTAATATACTCACTCCCAACGTCGTACAATGCAGGACAGGTACTAATATACTCATTCCCAATGTCATTCAGTGTAGAACAGGTACTAATATAATCATTCCCAATGTCATACAATGTAGGACAGGTACTAATATACTCATTCCCAATGTCATACAATATGGGACAGGTGCTTATATACTCACTTCAAATGTCATACATATAGGACAGGTACTAATATAATCATTCCCAATGTCATACAATGTAGGACAGGTACTAATATACTCATTCCCAATGTCATACAATATGGGACAGGTGCTAATATACTCACTTCAAATGTCATACAATGTAGAACAGTTACTAATATACTCACTCCCAATGTCATACATATAGGACAGGTACTAATATACTCATTCCCAATGTCATACAATGTAGGACAGGTACCAATATACTCACTCCCAATGTCATACATTGTAGGACAGTTACTAATATACTCACTTTCAATGTCATACAATGTAGGACAGGTACTAATATACTCACTCCCAATGTCATACAATGTAGAACTGGTACTAATATACTCACTCACAATGTCATACAATTTAGGACATGTACTAATATACTCATTCCTAATGTCATACAATGCAGGACAGGTACTAATATACTCACTCCCAATGTCATAAATGTAGGACAGGTACTAATATACTCACTCACAATGTCATACAATTTAGGACATGTACTAATATCCTCATTCCTAATGTCATACAATGCAGGACAGGTACTTATATACTCACTCCCAATGGCATACAATGTAGGACAGGTACTTATATACTCATTCCTAATGTCATATAATGTAGGACAGGTACCAATAACCTCACTCCCAATGCCATACAATGTAGGACAGGTACTAAAATGCTCACTCCCAATGTCATACAATACAGGACAGGTACTTATATACTCACTCCCAATGGCATACAATGTAGAACAGGTACTAATATACTCACTCCCAATGTCATACAATGCAGAACAGGTACTAATATTCTCATTCCCAATGTCATACAGTGTAGAACAGGTACTAATGTACTCACTCCCAATGTCATACAATGCAGGACAGGTACTTATATTCTCATTCCCAATGTCAAACAATGTAGGACAGTTACTAAAATACTCACTCCCAATGTCATACAATGTAGGACAGGTATTAATATAATCACTCCCAATGTCATACAATGCAGGACAGGTACATATATACTCATTCCCAATATCATACAGTGTAGGACAGTTACTAATATACTCACTCCCAATGGCATACAATGCAGGACAGGTACTAATATACTCACTCCCAATGTCGTACAGTGTAGGACTGTTACTAATATACTCACTGCCAATGTCGCACAATGTAGGACAGGTACTAGTATACTCACTCCCAATGTAATACAGAGTAGGACTGTTACTAATATACTCACTCCCAATGTCGTACAATGTAGGACAGGTACTAATATACTCATTCCCAATGTAATACAGTGTAGGACAGGTACTAATATACTCACTCCCAATGTCGTACAGTGTGGAACAGTAACTGATTTACTCGCTCCTATTTTCGTACTACCTAAACTGTATCTACTGTATTCACTCCCTTTGCCCGTATAGACGTTTATTCAATATGGAAAATGACAGTGAATGATTTCAAGATGGGTAGCAAATCATGATTTGAAGAAATTAATGTGAAATTGCAATTGATTAAAACCTATGACTACTATAGCTGACTAATTAACATGTTTTAGCTTTTCAGCTTCAATGCTGTATGATTTAAACATGATCTCCTGATTGCTATACAAAATAAAATCACTTTGTCGTATGTGTAAGTCCTTCAATATTACCTGCATTCTATATACAATACCAATATTATATTCAAAATAAATACGTTTCATAATTCTTCATTTTTGCCTTGGACAGAGATATGGGTGCTCTTCTCTATTCGTCCCGTTAACAAATCCATATCTATCTAGAGGCCCATCCCACCAACAAATAATTGCAGCTTTTTTCTTGTCCGTTCCAAGAACAAATTTTCAGATTGTTACCGGTCCATCACTAGAACAGTTCCTAAGAACAGAGCATGCAACATGTTTCCTAACCCGTCCTTAAAACAAATTTGGATCGTGTCTACCGGCACGTCCGTAGAACAAAATATGGAACATGTTACAAACCCGTCCCTAGAACAGTAGAACACAATTGCAACATGTCTAGGGTACCGGGCCGACCATAGAACAAATTTGCAACACAGACATAGTACCGGCCGCGGGTTCGTGGTTCCAGTACACTCTAAACGTTAATCTCCTTGCGTCGCGAGCCCTGTTTGAGTGTTTTCACACGCCGCACATTTCCCAGGGGCTCTCGGGCAGGGCCTTGCCATTATAGACAAACCACAGTAAACCACGTCATCACTGCTTACGTTAACGTCAAAAATCTGGGATACACAACCCTAATCCGTTGTCGCTTCCTTGGCAAAGAAGGATTAAAACTAGTTCTACGTATACTAAACAGTCACAAAATCTCGGATGTCCTCCAGCACGTGTGTACAACCCATACCGTCCATGAATTGCATACTAAGATTGAACACCGCTGACTGTCTAACACATATACAACCTTTTCATGCAATCACACACATTTAGGACCACTCGCTACTTATCCAGTAAGGCCGTAGACATGTATGATTTGATGAATGGATTATAAATTAATACATTCTCACATTTTAACTTTCATCATCTTCTTTGCCGCAGAACACTTTTAAGCATATATGCTATCCCCTCAGACGTTATATACGGGTGATATCTCATATTACCCCTCAGACGATATATACCAGGTATACCTCATATTACCCCTCAGACGTTTAATACGGGGTATACCACATATTACCCCTCAAACGTTATACGGGGGTTGTTCTCCGTAAATACGTGTCTGTTGGCACAGGTATATGGTCACGCTGGTTGTGGTCACGTGGATAATGGTCACGTGGTAGATGGTCCCGTGGTAGGTGATCACGTGGTAGATAGTCACGCGGTACGTGATCGCGTGGTATATGATCACGTGGTGCGTGGTCACGTGATGCATGGTCACGTGGAGCATGTGTATCTACAGTCGTTGATATGGTATTGCCTGAAACTTCTCTAGGAAATGTATAATTAGAAAGTTCATGAGAAGTAGTTTCCGATATTGGTGTATAGGTGTAATAACTCTCAGAGCGACTGAGAGAAGGATCGCCGGAGCGGTCCCGGGACTGTGATCGGTCTCGTGACTGAGACGGAGATTTCCTATAGCGCCATCTATTTCCTCTATCATTTTGTTCGCTCTTTAACATTTGCTGCAGTTTCTTTCGTTGTGAATGTTTATAGCGCGTTATATACAGGTACACAGAAAACACGCCCGACAACTCGGTCAGTGCGAACGACGACACAGCCATCATAAAGGACGATCCGTAAAAATATTTAAATTTGGGCTCCTCCATGGAGTTACCTTTTCCTTTATTTCCAACCTCCTCTGTAATGCTGCCTATGTAAAGGATAATTCCAACAAGCGTACACAACCCTGCAACAAAGATAAAAATAGGAATTTATTTCAACAATAATATACAAGAATATGAAATGGAACTATCACTTATTAACAAGAATATTTCAGTAATGCGTTATCCGTACCATGGAAATCAGCATACAAATTATTATACTACACCTACATGTACATAGTAAGTTGACAATTTTGATAGTACTCCCAGTACTCATTAAAAGTCGAAGTACGAGACTCAATAATTAAGTGACCTCTTGATATCATGTAGTAGGTAACTAGGAGGGTTGCGCAAAGATATGCGCATTAATTTATTTTCAGCAAAACCTGATTTGACAAAATCGAGTTCACGTATTTCCGTCCCTACATAACGATTGCTGGCACTTGAAAATTCGTGGTAGAACACTATAGGTGTGTCCGCTGATAACATGATGTAAAAAACCGTTTCAGAGAATATAATTCACCCACTTCCCTTAGAAGACGGAAAAGATTCAGCGCAACATGAACTGCCCTGGCCAACACTTTGTCTACATATATTAGCCAATCTAAACCAAGCATCGCTCTGAAAAGAATCTTTTACTATTTTCGGAGAAAAAAAATATATTAATTAAGAAATCGAGACATAAACATTATTTATTATTAACTCAACAACAAGGTACAGCTACTCAAGTAAATACAGAACCGCAATCTAACAAATATGTACATTAGGCCCACAAGCCTGTATCGCTAAACTGGCTATTGTAGAAATCATACATGTAGTAAAATATTCTTATATCTAATACTATAAATATCCATTTCAATTTGACTCTATTTCAATTTGACTCTCAGAACCCAAAGGAGATACACCCTTTCGTTTACAATATATGATTCACTGGTCCTAAGGATACCCTAGGGTAAATTTGGTTGAAATATGATCAACTGGTCAGGAGGTGTAGTCTTTCAAATGCTTTAAACACAAATTATCTTATGTGCTTAGATTGTTTTGAACCCAGTGTTTCGAAACTTTTTTTCCGAGCTTTCGAAAACGGCTAGTTCTCCTAATCCAGCGGGATTCTTGGATTACCCTCAATTTTCAATTGCACTTCCTCCAGGTCAAGCACTTTTGGGTTGTTCTAGTCTTGTTTAGGGTTAATTTTGCTAGCATGGTCTGTAATGGCTGATGTATCGTTTTGTTAATCCGATGTTTTCCTTGTATTCCTTGTGTAGAATTGCTGTTCAATGGCTTAAACGTCTTTCTGATGTTCGTAAGATGTGAATCGAATTTCCGGCCAATTTCACCAATATATGTAGGGATGCATGGAATTTGGTAAACTACTCATATCATGTCTTTCTTCGGCAATCTGTCTTTCGGATGAACTAATAGTTGCTTGACGGTGTCGGTATGTCGCATTTAATCTTCCATGTCTTCCTGTTCAGTTCCAAGTTTATGCATCTGTCTATGAGCGTGTGCACTACCCCCAGATTCTGGTCAATGGACGGCGTGAATTCAATTCGAGGTAAATGTCTGTGGTTGACATCATAAGGATAGACTAAAAGGAGAAAAAAAACCAGGAAGCTGTACTGTTGACAACATCATTGAGTTGTTGGAGTTTATAATCAACACCACATAATTTTCACTCAATGACACAGTTTACCAGTAAAAGTTTGTGGTAGCAATGGGGAGCCCAGTATCACCTCTTGTTACTAACGTGATTATGGACCATCTGGAGCAGAAAGTCATCTCAACTGTTTGTTTTATGCTCACTCCAAAAAGGAACAAAATTCTTCTTTTACACAAAGTTCGACCCCTAGGAAAAATGGACTAAAAAGGCTTATAGAAAATTTGCTTTTTTTAAAAACCTGTATATACATGTATTTGTTTAGGGTTATATGAAGGGGATTTCAACTGTTTTAATGTTATGACCTGTAGTGTAATTCTCCAGGGTGGGACTTTATCCTAGACCTAATCCTGATAGCGTTATTATGTTTATCTCTTAATGCCCAGCAAAACTATTTTGTTATAGGGATATCATGACCCTGGGACTAAGTCGCTAAAGGCATGGACAGACCCCTGAGCTTATTCAGGTAGCATGATTGTGTTTATCAGTTCATGCCCAATAATTGTTGATATGGTTGTGAGGTGGGGATCTAAACAGTTGCCATGTTATGATCCATGGACTAAGTCTCCAGGGGCAGGGACATAACCCAGGGCCAATCCTAATGGCATATTTGTATTCATTTCTATATAAGAATCACATCCGTTTCCACGGAATAGCCAATGGACTAAGTATCTTGGAATGTAGACTAGCCAGCGAAGTGCCAGTCCTGGTGGCAATGATATTTTTCTCTCCAATTTGTGAATACATGCTTATAGGGTGGTTGAAAATATCCAGTGTTTTCATGCTATGACACAATTTCCATTTTTGGCCTTGCCCCTGAATGGGGACGGACAAAAGTTCAAATTTTAGAAGCATGATGTGTTTGTCTGATGATGTCGGGTGAAGTTCTGGACAATTTCAAAGTTATAACCCAAATTCCTATTGTGTCTAGACCATGGGGTAGGGATTGGTACTAGGGCAAATTGTGGTAGCATTGAAGAATCCGTAAACACAACACCGTCATTCAATTACTTCAATAAAAAGAGCATCGCCATTCAACTACTTCAGTTAACACAAGGCCGCCTTTCAATTACATCACCGCCGTTCAACGTACAAACATATTAATCAACTTCTAATCAGAACGGACAGACTTGGAGATTACGTCACAGGAATGAGCATGTAATGCAATGCAAATCAACATGCCCCTATAGTCTATGTTACACTACTAGTTCCGTGCACGTGTTTGCATTTACCTCCAGAATGTGTCAACTTAATACATCAGAACGGTGCACGTGTTTACATTTCCCTCCAGCATGTGTCAATTCAATACAATAAAACGGTCCACGTGTTTACATTTTTCTCCAGCATGTGTCAACTCAATACATCAGCACGGTTCATGGCTTTACATTTCCCTCCAGCATGTGTCAACTCAATACATCAGACGGTGCACGCGTTTACCTTTCCCTCCAGCATGTGTCAACTTAATACACCAGAACGGTGCACGTATTTACATTTCCCTCCAACATGTGACAGCTCAATACATCAGAACGGTGCACATGTTTACATTTCCCTACAGCTTGTGTCAATTCAATACATTAGAACGGTCCATGCGTTTACATTTCCATCCAGCATGTGTCAACTCAGTACGTTACAACGTTGCGCATGTTTAAATTTACCTCCAGAATGTATCAACTCAATACATTAGAACGGTGCATGTGTTTACACCTTCTGGAGTGAAATGTACACACATGCACCGTTCTAAAGTACCGAGATTACACATTATGGAGTGAAATGTAATCTCGGTACGTTGGAACGGTGCATGTGTGTACATTTCACTCCAGGGTGCATGTGTTTACATTTCAGTCCAGAATGGGGAATCTCGGTACGTTAGAACTGTGCATGTGTTTACACCTTCTGGAGTGAAATGTACACACATGCACCGTTCTGAGGTATTGAGTTGACACATGCTGGAGAGAGATGTAAACACGTGCACCGTTCTAATGTATTGAGTTGACATATTCTGGAGTGAAATCTAAACACATGCTCCGTTCTACCGTACCGAGATTAAACATTCTGGAGTGAAATGTGAACACATGCACCGTTCTAACGAACCGAGATTACACATTAACACATGCACCGTTCTAACGAACCGAGATTACACATTCGGAGTGAAATGTAAAGACATGCACCGTTCTGAGGTATTGAGTTGACACATGCTGGAGTGAAATGTAAACACGCACCGTTCTGATGTATTGAGTGGACATATTATGGAGGGAAATGTAAATACGTGCACCGTTCTGGTGTATTAAGTTGACACATGCTGGATTGAAATGTAAACGCATGGACCGTTCTAATGTATTGAGTTGATACATTCTGGAGGTAAATTGAAACATGCGCAACGTTGTAACGTACTGAGATGACACATGCTGGATGCAAATGTAAACGCATGTACCGTTCTAATGTATTGAGTTGACACATGCTGGATGCAAATGTAAACGCATGTACCGTTCTAATGTATTGAGTTGATACATTTTGGAGGTAAATTTAAACATGCGCAACGTTGTAACGTACTGAGATGACACATGCTGGATGCAAATGTAAACGCATGGACCGTTCTAATGTATTGAGTTGATACATTCTGGAGGAAAATTTAAACATGCGCAACGTTGTAACGTACTGAGATGACACATGCTGGATGGAGATGTAAACGCATGGACCGTTCTAATGTATGTAAACACATGCAACGTTCTGATGTATTGAGTGGACATTTTCTGGAGGGAAATGTAAAAACATGCACCGTTCTAACGAACCGAGATTACACATTATGGAGTGAAATGTAATCTCGGTACGTTGGAACGGTGCATGTGTGTACATTTCACTCCAGAATGTGTAATCTCGGTACGGTAGAACGGTGCATGTGTTTACATTTCCCTCCAGAATATGTCCACTCAATACATCAGAACGGTGCATGTGTTTACATTTCACTCCAGAATGTGTCAACTCAATACATCAGAACGGTGCATGTGTTTACATTTCACTCCAGAATGTGTAATCTCGGTACGTTAGAACGGTGCATGTGTTTACATTTCACTCCAGAATGTGTAATCTCGGTACGTTAGAACGGTGCATGTGTTTACATTTCACTCCAGAATGTGTAATCTCGGTACGTTAGAACGGTGCATGTGTTTACATTTCACTCCAGAATGTGTAATCTCGGTACGTTAGAACGGTGCATGTGTTTACATTTCACTCCAGAATGTGTAATCTCGGTACGTTAGAACGGTGCATGTGTTTACATTTCACTCCAGAATGTGTAATCTCGGTACGTTAGAACGGTGCATGTGTTTACATTTCACTCCAGAATGTGTAATCTCGGTACGTTAGAACGGTGCATGTGTTTACATTTCACTCCAGAATGTGTAATCTCGGTACGTTAGAACGGTGCATGTG